TAATTCACTTTATATTTTCAAATAATTTATCATTAAAAACGTTACAAAATTTTGAATAAAAGTTGAATTTTCATAAAGTTTATTTTAAAATGTGCAGTACAGTCTCATTTTAAGACCTTGTTTACCCACCCCTATTTAAAAATGTTAATGTATAATAATTAACCAAACTACAATTTATTCACTTTTAGAAGAGAAATTATGCTTAAAATTCACTTTTTTTCTAAACTGTCAAATTGTGATATATTGTTACTAAATATATATATAAATTTCACATAAAAAAATTATTAGTATTTTAAATATATATTAATATTTATATAAAGGTCTTTAATTTTTTAAACTTTGTATATTTCAGAAGAACTTTAATAATTAAAACAAATATTCATTCAACCTTTTTTAAGACAATTTTTATTGTTACTTCAATTATCAAATATTCTTCAAATACCAATAATTGTTTGTTATCAAATGTCAGGATGAGATTTTCATTTCTGCAGATCACGGGTAGCAACGTGCCACAAGTATATCAATATGACTTTAAGTTAAGCTAAGTTAAATTAGATTGTAAAGATTTGCCCGGAGCAAGGTGAAGTTAGTTTCCATGAATGGCCAACCTTGGTGTCCGGAATACATGATTTATTGTCAATTTTGAAAATTTAGAACAGTTCAGGTTAAAAGGAAAGTTCAGCTAGTTTTAATTCAATTTTGTTGTTTTTTTGAATAAACAGAGTAAAATCTATTATGTTTTAAATTCATTTTAAGGGGAGAGGTACCCTTTTTTGGTATATTATATATACATTATTGTCAATTTTCAAAATTTAGAACAGTTCGGGTTAAAAGGAAAGTTCAGCTAGTTTTAATTCAATTTTGTTGTTGTTTTGAATAAACAGAGTAAAATCTATTGTTTTTAATTTGTTTCAAGGGGAGAGGTACCCTTTTTTTGGTAGATTATATATAATTATACAGTAGAACCTCTCTGTAAAGGACACCTAATTGCAGAGCCAAAGTGTCCTTTAGGAGAGGTGTCCTCTTACCCGAGAGTTTCTAAATTGTAAAAATTGTAATTTTGGAAAATGAAAACTGTCCTTTGTAAAGAGGTGTCCGCTAAAGTGAGGTTCTACTGTATATATATGTACTAGCCGAATGGCCCGGGCAACGCCCGTGTTTTACCCAATTGAATGTTTTTATTCAAATACTATTTGTTACAATTATAAATTGGCGCCTTAAATAAATGCATATATTAGTTAATAACTATAGCCTATGTGCTTTATCTGTCTATGTACTGTTGGCTTCCGTAGGTGTCTCATACTGGGAAAAGGAAAGAGAGGATTCCATTTAGTTATTAACTAATATATGCATTTATTTAAAGAGCGACCCGCTCCAAAACAATAGTTACAAAAACGAAAGAGGCGGGTGGGGGAGGCATGATGGGGGGGGCAAAGGTGGCGTGACCGTAGCCAACCAATAGGAGGGCGCCATTCCAAAAAAAAAAAGCAAACGGTGACAGAGACGACTGATGAGGAATGACGCTCGTAACTGTATATAGAACTAGCCGAATGACCCGGGCAACGCCCGTGTTTTACCCGATTGAATGTTTTGATTCAAATACTATTTGTTACAATTATAAATTGGCGCCTTAAATAATTGCATATGTTAGTTAATAACTATAGCCTATGTGCTTTATCTGCTTATGTACTGTTGGCTTCCGTAGGCGTCTTTTACTGGGAAAAAGAAAGAGAGGATTCCATTTGGTTATTATCTAATATTTGCATTTATTTAAGGAGCGACCCGCTCCAACACAATAGTTACAAAGACGAAATAGCGAGTGGGGGGGCATGATGGGGGGGGGGGGGGCAAAGGTGGCGTGTTCGTAGCCAACCAATAGGAAAGCGCCATTCCAAAAAAAAGGAGTGGGGGGGGCATGATGGCATGACCGTAGCCAACCAATAGGAGGGCGCCATTCCAAAAAAAAAGCAAACGGTGACAGAGATGAAAACTGATGACTGATTGTTGATTAGGAGATGAGGAATGACGCTCGTAACTGTATATAGAATGGTTATATTACATGATTTATTTCCAGCATTCGAAATTTAGAACAGGTTGGGTTAAAAGGAAAGTTCAGCTAGTTACAATTAAATTGAATAACCAGAGTAAAATGTATTGTTTTTCATTCATTTTAAGGGGAGATATATTCGGTAGATATTATATAATTATATATACTCTGACATGCATAAATTACTACGGATGTTTACCCTTCCCACAAGTAGCAAAATATGAAAAACATATCCCTGCCTTTACAATTGAAAAAAATTAACAAGCAATCCAGGGTCATTTTCTATAACTATTTTTTTTTTAATTTTTTGGCATATATAGTTAGCTGGAAGTCTTACTTCTAGTTCTTCTGTTAAAGAACATGTTGGCCTGAAAGCTAGAGAACTAAAAATAAAAAATAGCTTAAAAATATCAAATCTTTGAAAATTTAGGTTTGTGATCACCTATATCTATATACAGTCAGTGAATTAAGGTCTATGTTGAATTATAGATGGTTAAATTAGTCAAAATGACACTATTGGGATTTAGAAAGAAAAAAAAGTTGAATTACAGGTGGTCACCCTCCCAAGTACTGACCAGGCCCAACATTACTCAACTTCAGTGATTGGATGAGAAACGGTGTTTTCAATGTGGTATGGCCATAGGCAAAGAGGTTGTTATGTCCAATGACCCTGGAATATTAAGAACTGCGATAGAGCAAACAATACAAAACGACTTAACAAGAATAACCCAATCAAAGTTATATTCCCACTATAGAGACATATATACAACGTTTACCACCGAAGAATACTTCTTAAGTGAACTCCCTTTTCCTATCATCAGATTAATTGCACAATTTAGAACCCTTTCAATTTTTTTCAGAGAACACCATTTGATTTTATTGAGGCGTGAAGACCTGAAATGCACTTTCTGTGGATCAGGAATAACAACGGAGATGTTGCACTACTTATTTGACTGTGCTGCTCTGTCTGAGGAAAGACGAAAACTAAATGATAAAACGGGGCAACTTTGTCCTTCATTTCCGGCACTGATTAATGAAATATCAAAGAATAGGTATATAGCGATGGCGATATTTGGATTCCACAAGACTATATCCCGGAAAAAGGCCTCACAGTGTTCTCCCTATCCCTTGTGAACTGGCGAATCCTGTATAGGGCGAGAGGCCCTAAATAAAGGCTTTTGTTGTTGTTGTTGTTTGTTGTTATGTCCAATGAAGAGATGTCTCCATGCATCTCTATTACAGCAGTCACAATGTCCTCAATCTTGGGTAGTCAAAGAGTTTTTTTTACTCTATAAGGCAATTTGGATAAGTAGAGTGTAGCATATTCTCTTTAGGACATGAGGGCCTGGTAGAGTTGGAATTATTGAGGAATTAAAAATTCATCAGAGAGATCCTCCACAAAAGAAAATATAAACATGGAAGATGATAAGGCACAATTTGGATTTTAGATTACAAACACAAGGCAATAAGGGCAAATAAATAAATACAGTGTGACATTTCGATAACAGCGTTGCCACTGAAATGTCATATGCTATTTTTTATTTTTTTAATTTGGTTTTATTATCCTTTATAAACATGATGCATTTAGAGAACCATCTGTTATTTATGATGATATGTTTTTTTTTTTTTGCTTATCCCTAGTACACGTGGTACAGGCCATGATAATCATGGTGGGTAGTTAGCGACTGCTTTTTACTGTAAGCGCACCACATGTCTACACATGTGAAAGCAGTTCGACTTTGCACTTACAAATGTGCCAGAGCCCCGTTTGATTACTTGCACTCGCTGGTGGGGTTGGACTTTTGCAAGAATCGGGGGGCCATTGGAGCATTTTTTTTTTTTTAAACAGAAAAAAGTGTCCAATGCGGGGATCGAACCCGGGTCGTAGTGGTCGTAAACCAAACGGTTTAACCAGCCTTCCACCGATATGTGTCTTTTAAAAGAAAACTAATTTCTATAAAAATATATTTTTTAATATTGCACACATATAGTAAGATCAGTAGATACTCTCTCATCTCATTTCAAAAGAAACTTACCTAATATAAATAATTAGCTACCATGGAATATATTGGGTGTAAGCTAAGAGTTTGCTCCAGAAGCTGCCATGGGGAACTGCTGCTCCTTCCTCCTGCCGAGAGAAGCCCCCACCCTCAACGGAGGCCTCAAGTTCTCCTCTGAGGCCTCCTCCAACCACAAGAAAAACAATGCAGACGCTGGGGACAAGCTGGGTAACCAACCTACAGCGGGGTCCCACCATCAAAGTAAGTGCCTTCTATCCTTCTCTTGTACATACTTCACACCATTTTTCCCTGATAAATTTGGGTAGAATTTGTTGCGTTAAAATTACCTAATTTAATACAAGAAAATAAGACCTGATCCACCACGTGTGTGACGTTTCGGCAACAGCATTGTCACCATCATCAGACAAAAGAATAAATGAGAAAAAAATATCACAGCAAGTTCTTAAATCTCATTTATTCTTTTGTGTGATGATAGTGATAATGCTGTTGCCGAAACGTCACGCAATATTAATTTATTTGGATCAGGTCTTATTTTCTTGTTTTATAATCTATAAATACAAATTGTGCTTTATCACTTACCTAATGATACCTAATTGAGGATTAATTTATTGTGTCACGTGTATAGTGGCAATCAAGGAACAAGATGGCAAAAGTACTGAAATATAATACTTTTTTTAAATCTGGGCTTGTTTACTTGTGATTAGAGGGAAGTTACCTACTTTTTTGATGAGGGCACATTTCCAAATCAAGATAGTGTAGACCTGGAAAGAGCAGCAGAATGTAGAGATAACCAAATATGTCAACCAGTCAAGGGAGGAAAGAACTTGCCATACCAACTAAAGTTGAAAGCAGATTTAAATGTTCTCATATTTGTCTGTAGCACATAATAAAAGAAAATAAGACCTAATCCAAATAATTTATTAGTGTGTGACGTTTCGGCAACAACATTGTCACCATCATCAGACAAAAAGAATAAAATGATTTTATTCTTTTTGTCTGATGATGGTGACAATGTTGTTGCCGAAACGTCACACACTAAAAAAATTATTTGGATTAGGTCTTATTTTCTTTTATTATAATCTATAATCCAAATTGTGCTTTATCATTCTTGTCTGTAGAACATCTGCTGTACTCATGGTATTCATGGTACTGTTAGCTAACTGACTTCCTGGGTGTGTTACAGACAAAGTAGTAAAGGCCCTGTACACCTACAAGGGCAGGGATGAAGGAGACCTGTGGTTCAACAAGGGAGACCTCATGGAGATCATAGATGACAGGTGAGCTAGCCTGCCTCCTCCACTACCACCATGGTATCTGACCAGAGTGTGTGAGACAGCAATGAAGACTGGTGGTTTGCCCTCCATCTCACCCACAACAAGCTAGGCTACATCCCCAGGAACTACATTGCCTTCGAGACCACCGTGGACACAGAGGAGTAAGTTCTACTTTCATTGTTGATAAGTCTTGCGATGTCTGCTACTCTCAAACTGTAGCTACTCAGTAGCAATGAGGGAAATAATTATAATTTGTTTTTTGGTTTGCTCCTATTTAACTAAATATAATAAAGATGATAAGGCACAATTTTAGATTATAAACACAAGGTAATAAGACCGGACCTTTAGGAGAGGCCACTGCTTATCATAAAACAGCTCGAGGAGCATGAACTCAACGAATTTGTGTAATCTTTGCACAAGGGGATAAGAAATAACAAGTAATAAGACCAAATAAATAAATAGTATGTGATATTTTTTCTCATTCAGCACTTTTGTATGAAGATGGTAACAACACTGTTACTCTTCTTCTTCCTCTTTTTTATCTCCACTCAATCATATTAAGGTATCAAGCTTCTAAAGCTTGAGATTTTTGATGGTGTCTGCCGGGGAAGAGTAGAGCTCATTAATGGATGAGTCAATACAGTCAATAATATGTCTTGGGGTTGCAGGCTGAGAATTGCACTTAGTACATAGTGGGAAAACCTTGCTACCATTCTGGAAAATCATTATCCGTAGATGACCAGACTTGAGTCTGGAAATCAGAGACTGTTGTTCTCTTGGGATGACAGAACACTGTTACTGAAACATCACACACTATTTATTTATTTGGATTTGGTCTTATTACCTTGTGTTTAAATATAATAATCTAAGTAAAATCGAGGTGTATATAAGAAAGTTGAACTATTTTTGATGAATATATTTCTTCTAATAATAAATATAAAAAATAATTCACATTTATTATAATAGATTGAGTGCATCTCTTGTTAAATGTGGTGTATATTATGTAGCGTATATTGAAGAACCCAAAATTCAATCTTTTTTTTTTTTTTTTGCTTATCCCTGGTACACGTGGTACAGGCCATGATAATCATGGTGGGTAGTTAGCGACTAAAAAATACAATCTCATCAAAGAATGCTAATACTTATATGCAAAAACCTATGTAAACCTTTTCATATGTCTTTTAATAGTCACACAGAATAAAAATATGCGAGGGTGTCACATTCAGATTACTTTTTGGATCGTTAGCTTGCTAATTCATGATCCTAATTGAACACTAATTATTATTTATTTCTATACCATATGGTCTGAATGTTTTTAGCATCTCATAATGTCTCACAGCAATTTTTCAAACATTTTATACAAGGTAATTCATAATGTTTCAGTACCACTGTGTCGACTGGTCCATTGCTGTATTGTAGACAAGACCAAGTAATCATAATTTTGAATTATTGTGAGAGTACTTTTTGGTCCCCTATTTACAGGAAGACTTGGAAGTAACATAAATGATAAGGCTGGATTATAGATTACTAGCCGAATGACCCGGGCAACGCCCGGGTTTTACCCTATTAAATGTACCCTGTTTCACCCGTGGTCTCTGTTTTTTGGAATTCTTCCCGATATAATTTTGTATCTGATAATCAAACATGATACAGCAAAATTTTTAAAAAGCAAAATTTTTAAAATAGCCTATCGTCTTACCAGTATTCTTTTACCTATGTATGGAAATTTTGGTTTGAATTAGTGAACTACTGAGGGTTTACACGATTAAATGTATATTACATATGGAAGAGATGGACGTAGTTCCCGGAGGGCACCCGCGAGGTCACTCTGCCCCCGCGCAACTGTCCAACTGGGAGCGCCCCGCGCCGTCAAAATCGTCACGTGTTCTAGAGGGCGCTGCTCCGGCCGTCAGCCGGGAGATCTCATTTACTCGGCGGGGGGGGAGCAGGGGGAAGGGAAGTCACGTGCTGCGCCGGCAGCCGGATTATAGATTATTACCTTGAGCATAAATAAATGATGAATATGCCATATATTCATTTTGTATTAATCTGTTTGATGAATTATTTAAATTATATTTTTACATATATCTGGGACAATATGTAAAAAGAGACATACCAACAACAAATGTCTTGTAGTACTGAGAATAAACTGGTCCTCATAGAGAGAAGTAGATGTTTACACCTGGTAGTTATAATGGGTCAGTGATATGGAACCTAACTGAAGGGTACCTGTCTAGAAGTGTCAGAAAATACTCATCTGGCCATGGTGTAAATAGGGTAATTGTCCAACTAGGAAGTAAGATCAGCTCAAATATGTAAATGTTCATGTCCATACACTAGAGGACT